TTCAGATTAAATAGTTTAATTTCTATAATCATATTTAGAAGACTCATTCAAAGTGTATTAATCAGCTATGTCCTTGAATTTAAACAATCAGAAAGTATTAATTGATAGAGCTGTGACTTATCTAAATCTATATTTTAATTCTACTGATTTCTTTTTTTAATCATGGATTTGTAATATTTTGTAAATAAATAATCTAGTGTTAACTTTATTTTCACAGACATGAAATATTATAAGAATATTATTCTTTTTATTATTAGATATAAATTTATGTATTAAATTAAAAATATTCACGAAATTTGATTGAGTTTTGTAAATACCAATTGCTGTATAAACTAAATAAAGAAGTGTAAACTTATTGTGATGTAACTTTTAAAGTTATGCTTCTATTAGTAGATATGTAATATTTATTAGAAAATTAGGGCTTGTTTAAAGTAGTAATAATGTAAAATCAGTGGACTGTTTTTTATTCATTGCCACTTATCACTGTTTTCTGTTGTGTATCTGCTAAATGGAGAATAACGTAAACAAACAAGGGAAAACTTAGCCTCCAGATGATAATAGTTCAGGAGTTGAATAGTTCTTGGAATAGGGTTAAATCTGTCTACAGCTCCAAATCATATGTGTAGTAAAATGGTCTTAGATCTTAGATTAGTATTTATAGTTGTATTACGTGTAGACGTCTACACAAAAAAATAGGACAACGCAACGATTCTGGGAATAGGGTTGAGTCTGTCCAATGTTTGAAATCATATGGATTAAAAAACTTTAAATAAGTTATATAATTCAATGAATATTTGCAATGAGCAAAAATATCAACAAAAAAAATTGTAAGAATTATATTTAATAATATTCTAAATAAGAATTGTTGTTGTGAAATGGTAAGAAATTCAATGAACGTGGATGTCTACAAAATAAACAACAACAAAAAGTAAAAGTGAAAATTGACAACATACTTAAATTATGGGAATAGGGTTTATTCTAATACCAGTTACTAATATTTCATATTGTGTGGATTAAATTGTTGTTGTGAAATGGTAACATATTTAATAAACGTGGATGTCTACATAATAAACAACAATAAAAAGTAAATGTGAAGATTGAAAACACACATATATTATGGGAATAAAGTTCTAATAATTGTAATTCTATTCTAATACCAGTTAGTAATATTTCATATTGTGTGGATTAAATTGTTGTCACAAATTCAATTAGTATTTGCAATGAACTTAGATGTCTGCGTAATAACCAAAAAAAAGCAAAAGTTAAGATTCGCAACACACATAGGATTTAGTCTAATACCAGTTACTAATATTTCATATTATGTGGATTAAATTGTTGTTGTGAAATGGTCACAAATTCAATTAGTATTTGAAAAGAACGTGGATGTCTGCATAATAAACAACAACAATAAGCAAAAGTGAATATTCACAACACACATATAGTGGGAATAGGATTTAATCTTATACCAGTTACTAATATTTCATATTGTGAGGATTACATTTTTGTTGTGAAATGGTTACAAATTCAATTAGTATTTGCAATGAACGTGGATGGATGCAAAATAAACAACAATAAAAAAAGCAAAAGTGAGGACTGGTAACAGAAAGAGAAATTTCACCAAGAATAGAATAAAGGGCAATGATTCAATAAAGATTAATCTCCGATAATTGACGTGATTGATTTTTATTGGTGCTAGAGAGACATTCACCTTGGAGGAGAACAACGAATGCACGCTATCAGAGGGAACAGTTCCAAAAGCAAAGAGAAGAGAGGAGGTAGAGAAGAGCGAGTTGAAGAGGGATAGAACATGTTTCGAACCCCTTTCGAATGCTTTCGTGTCGTATAGTAAACTTGATAATAAATATGCATTACTCATGCTGGAAACGGGTTATAATAATGCATTCTGTGAGACCTGAAGAGAAAGAGAGGCCAGCAAATGCATGCGTTCACGTTACTTTCATTGAGCAGATAACGGAGGTGGAGGAGAGTTGCGCACCGTACCGCACTGCACCGCGCCGCACCGAACCGCAGCTTCAGGACATCATAATAACACAGATAGTATAGTGTGCGCTCGAATCCAGGCACAGCACCACCACTACAACAGGCACTCCACCATCCAACGCGAACGATTCGTATACCATACGCACGCAGTCTGCCTTCAAGACAACACGTGCTCGCAGCACCAGACCAGTACGATCACACTTGTATTCATACCACCTCATCTACCTACCTACAGGCATCCAGGACTTCGAACATGTCTGCAGATTCCGAGCTAAACTCCGTCCTCATCAGGAGACAAGAGATCAACGACGCCCTCGACAACGGACACGAAGTACAGCTCAAGTACAAAGTGGTGAATGTTTACACCGAGTTCCACGAATTCACGAGGAAAGAAATTAAGCAATACGAAACTACCTTCAAGAAGTAAGTCGCACCTTTGTTCTCTCATTCTTGACCTTAAGTCACATAACAATCGATTCTAAACCACAGAACTGCAGTAAGAAACAAATGCAAACGTTTAAAAACATTAAAGTTTAACACAAAGTTTTTTGTTTTAAACTTTATAGAGTCACCTTTAAATTGCATTTAATTAAACAAAAAATATATTTAACAAACACATTAACAATATTACAATAACAAAAAAAGTTGCTATAATTAACTTTAAACTATTTCTTCTTGACTTTAAGTCATAACAATTGACTTTAACTTATTAACAATTTATTTCACCAATATGGAACATAGTTAACTTTAAACCGTTCTTGCTTAAAATTTTAAATTTGATTTACTTTTCAAAGATAGTTAACAGTAAGAAAGATACAAATGAAGTTCTAATAACAACAGTTATTAATTACTTTAAAAAAATAACAACTACCAAAAACAACAAAATCATTATTTTAACTATAATTCAATAATTATAATGTAACTTTTGAATATTTCTTTCAATAATCATGAAACAATAATTATTTTAAACAATATTTTCTTCTCTTCAAAATTACAAATTAGTTTCAATAAATTCATCAAAAAGTATAAACAAACAATAATTGTATCCATTAATTAATGATAAAAAAAGAAGTGAATGTCTTCTAACAATCAGCATTGATTTCCAATCAATTTAATAAGAACCATAAACAATATTATGAGTAATTAACTTTTAATAATAACTTATTTGTTTTCTTCATAAAATGTCATTAATAGCAATTTGAAACGTTCCAAAACAAAATAATACGATTTCTACAAATCACAACGAATTTCTCTCTAAAGTAACTAATTAAGAAAATTATCAATAAAAATATAAATTAATCATTAATTTCATGTCTTTTAAAGATCAATTAATATCCAATTCGAACAATAAACGAAGTTTTTTTGAATGTTTTTTTCTAATTTAATATTCATTTCAATGTGAGTCATTACAAGAAATGAAATGATTTCAAATTTATTTCCCATTTCATCAAAAATCGATTATCGTGAATAATCGTAGAAACGTCTGATTAGAAATGGAAAACCAATGACATGACCTATTAATTATTCATGTTTTCTAAAATATATATTACAAAGGACATTAAAATATTATAGAATATTGATAATAAATATTATTGAAACGTTTTTTTTATGATTTTCCTGAAAGATTAACATTGATTTTATAATAATCAATGATGTAACAAGATACCATTGTTCATTAACAAACAGAAAATATACAAATCTAAAGATTTTGTTTAATCTAACTATTTAATATACGTAACTCATTGTGTTTTGAATTACGTAATGAACAATTTTATCATGAATAACAAGGAATTTGTGATAAATAAATGGAAATCCACTGTTTTTTTTCTCTTTACATATATTTTCTCTTTACATTGTTTAAATTTTGTAGAATTTACTAGTTTATTTTACAGATAAGTAAAAATATAATTAATTATGAAAACCTAATGATGTAAGAAATTGGATTAGAATCAGTTTGAAAAAAATGAACCAGGATTTAGCACAATTCGCCAGATTATTTATGTAATTAATCCTTATCTACAGATTTTATATCCTAGTATCAGTGTAATTGAAAACTGCTGTTGTTCAATAAAATATCAACTTTTATTTGCTGAGTTCAATGAAATAACGCTCGATAATCTCACGAGGATTTATTAATAGAATGAAAACTTTTTTCTTTCCATATACTCGAGTGTAAAAAGATCCTTGTTTAGATTAAATGCGGAATACTGCTTTATACGATGTCAGGTAAATCCGAAGAAAACACGAATAAAAGAATTATACCTGTTTATTTTATTTTGAATGCATGTGTTTTTTATAGACAGCTAAGAACTTATTTTCTTAGCAGATTTTGTCTATCAACCATTGTAAATCGTTTCCGTTTTAT